CCATGATTGTTCTTGCAACATTCACTTTTGTTACTGTGTTAGTGTGTGATTATTTCAAAGACTTTACCTAGATCCCATCTTTTCATCATGAATTAAATATAAAAGCTCTCTTTGTAGTGGAAAAGAAGCTGAAATAGCAAGGGATGCCTGTCAATTGGGGAGTGACTCAGCAAGTTATGGTACATGATTGTGATAGAATACTACTGTGTTATAAGAAATGGTGAGCTCAATGATCTTAGGAAAACATGGATAGATTTGCATGAAATAATGAAGAATGAAATGAGCAGAACCAAGAGAATATTGTATATAATAACAGCAATATTGTTTTAAGAACAACTTCGAGTGAATAAGTCATTTTGACTATTATAATACCCAAATTAACTACAAAGAACATCTGAAGGAAGACACTATCTGTATCCAGACAAATAACTGATAAAAAGAAGTATTTATAAAATGATTTTACACACACATACACACACACACACAAACACACACATATAAATACATACATATATATACATATTTGTGTCTAATGATAGCCATCTCTAGGGCAGAGTGAGAAACAGAAGAAAAAAGGGGGAAAAAACCTTATGTGATAACTTTATGGTATATTTAAAAAGAATAGCAAGTTGCACATAATAGATTTGCAATTTCATGAGCAGTCATCTTTTTTTATTATTATATTAAGTTACAGAAATGCATGGTTTATTCAACAAACTAAAAATTAAATATATAAAAATAATTTTTGAAAGTCTCATATTCTACTTTTCCTTGTGGGATTATTTCCAGTCTCCTATTCTTATCTGTAAGCCTTTTTATTTTGCATTTTAGAATGTTGTGTTCCAAGATTTTCTCTTCTGTAAAGTAGTTGTATTTTGTTGTCTGCTCCTGAAGGACCTAGCCAGTTTCTTCTGTGATTGCTTAAAAAATGGGTATTCAGATGTTTTGTTTATTTGTGATTTTCAGAAAGTCCACTGATCCTCAGATTATATCTCCTTGACTTTTTTCCTGGTCAATTATTTTTTGTTATAGATTCCTTACATATTTTGATTTTTCTTTTAATTTTGTTCTGATATTTCTTGTTATCTAATGGAATCATTGCATTGTTTGCTGCATTCTATTTATAGAAAGCCTGCTACTTAGGTAAGAGTTTCTATTTTCTATCCTAAGTTTCTTTATGTTGTTGTTATTGTTATCGTTGCATCCTTTCAGTTGTGTCTGACTCTCTATGATGCCATTTTGGGTTTTCTTGGCAAAAATACTTGAATAGTTTGCCATTTCTTTCTCCAGCTCATTTTACAGACAAGGAACTGAGGCAAACAGGTTAAGGGACTTGCCCAGGGTCACACAGCTAGTAAGTGTCTGAAGCTGGATTTGAACTCAGATTCTCCTGACTCCATGGCCAGTGCTCTATCCACTGAGCCACCTAGCTGCCATAAGTTTCTTTATACCCTTCCTCTGATTGGTTGGTTTCTCCCAGAACATCCATTTTAAGAAAAATATCCAGGCTAACCATGTCTTTATTCTTTTCCAGGATTCATTCCTGATTCTCTTGACTTTCTCTACCATTCCCTCTCAAGGCTATACACTCTCCATCTTTCAGCTTCCTTTTATATATTTATTGTCTTCTTCCATTAGAATGCAAGTTCCTTGAGGGCAGGGGTAATCTTTCTCCTTGTATTTTTATTCTTAGTATTTAGCATGGTGCCAAACACATAATAAGTATTTAATAAATGATTGTTGACTTCTAATTTATTTCCCAGTGACACTCTTTTTTTAATCTCTTAATTTCTCCAAGACTTTCTTTGAATCCTTGGTTATGGCTATAGAGATATTCTCTTTTGCTAGGTTAATCCTCTTGGGCTTGTCTTAACCCGGAGTATTTCCTCCTATTTTTTTAAAAGTTTCATTCTGTTTACTTATGTCTGCATGTCTCAATTCTTGGACTGGAACTTTTTGCTGGGGCTAGACTCCCCTCCCTCTCTCACTCTTGGATCAGTTGGGTAGGCTCTGTTTGGTCTGACCTCTCTGGAATCTCTGCTCCATTGCCACTTTAAAAAAAGCCTTTAAAGGTAAAAATAAACCTTTAAAGGTAAAAGCCTTTGGAAGTTCCAAATAATTGTGCTAAATTCTTCCAGAGTTTATCACTATTTGTACATTATTTTACAGGTAAATACAAGTACTTATCATTCACTTACATCAATAATATTCCATAATTCATTTTCAAATAAAGTGACAAAATAGGGAAAATGTGGTATAATGGACCAAAGGACTAGCCTTGGAGCGAGGAAGCGGTTGGTTTAAATCTTCTCTGAAACAAATGCTTGACCAAAGGGAAGTCGCTTAGCTCTCAATGACTCAGGAAACTGTAAGACTGTAAGTTATAGATTAATTATATCATTTGAGTAACATCAACTTTTCCCTACTAAGAGTTTTCTACATGATAAAATCATAGGCCCAGACCCAAATAGTAACAATAATAAGTATGAATATCTCAAAGGATTTCAATATCTTTGAACACATTGCTAATAGAGAATGTTATGAAAATTACTAAATTTGTAAGTAAACAAAACCAGAATTAGTTGAATTTCATCTTTCAAAGTTATGACTGCTTGTGGATATGATGCCATTCTAAATCAAACACTATATTTGCAAACTACACTTCAGCAGAACAGACACACGGATATACGTACACAGAGAGAGATCTTGGCATCATTGCTGGTGTTCTATTACTCCTATTCTGGCATGTAATAGCTATTTTCATGTAACCCTTCTCCTGATCATTACTACTCACCAAGATGTTGACAGCAGCTGACAGCAATAAAAGCGACTAAGAATGTATAACCCTTTAAATAGAAAAGGGGGAAATTCTCTGTACTAAGGAACATCCATTAAAAAATTATCTTTTGGGTCACCTCAATCCAATTTATTTTCCTTCAAAAAGATTTAGCCAGTTTCTTTTAGTTCTTCTTCCCTTGAGCTGTAAGTAAATCCCAAATATACAAAAATATTTTTTAATCACCTAAAATTCTTAGGATCCAGGAAAGAAAAAGACATATGATATGGTTTTCAAATTTAACTAGAAGCTTGACTTAAATTTCAGATGGAGTCACTAAGTCTTCAGAGAGAAATGTCATCATCAATAATAAGAATTTTACAACTCTCCATAAAGTCTCCTACATTTTGAGTGATAGCCCCAGATGGATCTTCACAATGTGAGTTAAAAAGAATAACCAGGGATTAAGCCTTCATTCAGAGTCATAGCACTATATTCAAGAGCAAAATCTAGGATACGTGTAAAGGATTGTTAGCTGTCAGGATTAGAATAGTGAGAGCAATTCAAGAGTCTGACTTTCTTGCTTCTCTCTGAGCTTAATAGAGAATGCTCAGGTTTTCTTAGGATTATGCCAACTTCTAAAATATAATTTCATATTATATATCCTAACTGGTACAAATATAAATTAGATTAAAATATGTAATACTTGAAGGCTTATAAATCACTTTTTTCACAACAAAAATTTGTTATTTTTGTTTAGTCATTTTTCAGTTGTGTCTGACTCTTCATGATCCCTTTTGGGGTTTTCTTGGCAAAGATACTGGAATGATTTGCCATTTCCTTCTCCAGCTCATTTTTATAGATGAAGAAATGGAGGAAAAAAGGGTTAAATGACTTGCCCAGGGTCACAAAGTCAGTGCTTCTGAAGTTGGATTTGAACTCAGGTCTTCCTGACTCCAGGCCCAGTACTCTATCTACTGTGCCTAAGTAATATTATTCATTTTTATAAATAAGAGCTCTAAGGCTGAGAAGGTAAATTACTTGTCCAAGGTCACTAAACAAGCAATTAACAGACTTGGAGCTCAAATACACACTTTCTGATTATGAATTTCACATTCTTTCCAGGTTGCCACACATAGGAAGATATTCACCAAGTATTATAGACCTCACTTACATAAGGACTCATCTAGTTTGAATATTATCCAAATACTTTTCACTTTCCAGCTATTTTTCATGCCTTTAAAAATTTTTAACAATTTGTTCAAATGAGAATCTCAATAAGAAGCTGGCAGAATGAAATAATTTCTGCTAAAGCAACATGCGGAAGTAAAGGAAATAGGCTAAATCGAGAACAACAAATCCAGGAGAAAAAATGCAATGAAATAAAACTTGTTATAACAATTTCCTGTGTTAATGTGCTTAATGATATCATAAACTTTAAATACAGCCATATATTTGGGCATTACCCACTTTATAAACATTTGGATTTCATTTGGAATTTAACTTATATGCTAAATTCAAATAAAGATGCTTTAAAACCAAAACTAGGCTGAAGAATACACTGACAAAATGAAGGACACAGAGAATAGGCCCAAAATATTTTGTAGCACAATGTTGATAACACAGTAAGAAATGTACTCTAGAGAAATTTATCTACTTCTATGGAATGTAGATAGGAAAAGATTTTATTGATCTATTGAATAGTAAATAAAACTTGTAATTTATTTTTAAATACAGTTGCTTAGATTTTCTAATGTCATGGAAATGTGAATTTTATTTTTTAAAATATTACTTTATTTTCCCCGTTACATGTGAAGAAAATTTTTAGCATTCATTTTTACAAGATTCTGAATTCCAAATTTTTCTCCCTCCCTTCCTCCCTCTCTCTCCTCCCCTCTTGTGAAAATGGTAGGCAGTTTAATATAGTTTATACATATGCTTTCATGTAAAAATATTTCCATATCAGTCACAGTTGTGAAAGAAACAGAGCAGAAGGGGGGGAAAACATGAGAAAGAATAAAGTAAGTAAAAAAATGTGCTTTGATTTGCATTCAGAATCCATTAGTTCTTCATCTGTATATGGATAGCATTTTTCCTTTGTGAGTCCTTTGTACTTGTCTTGGATCATTGTGTTGCTGAGAAGAGTCAAGTCATTCATAGTTGATCATCACACAATGTTGTTGGTGCTGTGTACAACATTTTCCTGGTTCTGCCCATTTCACTTTGCACCAATTCACAGAAGTCTTACCAGGTTTTTCTGAAATACATCATCATTTCTTACAGCACAATAGTATTCCATTACATTCATATACCATAACTTATTCAGCCATTCCCCAGTTGATGGGCATCTTCTCAATTTCCAATATTTTGCCACCACAAAAAGGCTACTATAAATATTTTTGCACATGTAGGTCCTTGGGAATATGAATTTTAAAGAGATTATAAGAGGCATGCTTAACAATTCCTATTATAATATATTAGACTGAAAAGCTCAGGCATGCAGACCTCAAATCCTGAAATTCGCCCTCTCTGACCATATTTTTTGTCCTACTTCTCCTACTCTTTTACTCTTCCTATTATGATTTTCCTGATCTCCATTCTTCCTTATCTTGCTATATTCTCAACTATCAAATATCCTGACCTCACTTCCCTCCCAATTTATTTATTTTTGACCCTTTGTTGAGTTGTTCCCTCTCTTGTATCCACAAATCTTTTGTCTTCTTTACCTTCTAATTATATCAGTCAATTAATCGATTGAGAAATTGCTCACCAAGCATTTTTTAAGATTGTGCCAGGCACTTTACTAAGCTCTAGGTATAGAAACAAAATTAAACAGCTACTACCTTCGATGGGCTAACATTGTATCAAGGGAGACAATATGTACAAAGTAACGAAGGGGAAGCACTAGCAGAGGAGGTAATCATGAAAGGCTTCCTGTGATGCTTGAAATGAGCTTTGAAGGAAAGTAGGAACTTCGGGATGTGCAGGGAGAAGGAAATGCAATTCACGTTATATGCAAAAGCATAGACTTGGTAGGGGGAGGGTCATATGTGAGGAAAATCAAAAAGGGCAGTTTGGCAGAACTGTGTAGACTGCATGAAGGGGAATAATGTGTGTAAGCCAGACTGTGAAGGTCTTAAAAACAGAGGGCTTGGTATTCTTCGCTAGAGGAAATTGGGAGCTCCTAGAGCTTCCTGACCAGGGGAATGACATAGATCATTGCACAGTTTTAGGAATATTTGAATATTTAGGAACATCTAAATAGGCAGCTTTCTGGATTATAGTATAGGTCATCAATATGCTAGGATTAATTAGTTATAAGATCACTTGCAGATGATATCTCAGTAACTGTGTTCCTTAAAGAAACTGAACACAAGATAAATGTATTTTTATTGGCATGGAGGAATAGGCAGGAAGGAATGAAAAACTTGGGACATGCATCATTGCCCATGAAAGTTAGGTCTAAGTAAAACTCAATGGTATGGTGCCCTGTGCAGTGGATGGCATACTACAGCTCTGGGCCCCTAGAGATGAAGGGCACCATAAGGAAGGAGAAAAATGTCAGGAGAGGTGGGAGACCAAAGACAAAATACATCATTGCTTTGTCTGGGGTGAACCTTGAACTCAGGTTTCTCTACTTAGACTATAACAACTTTCACAAAGTCAATACCTAAGTCTAAATTGGCATCTGAAATAAGCTTTCAGGTTTATGATGGCCAATTCACCAGTAATAGGATATAGAATGTGTGAGGAAAGGTCTGTGTAGTAACCCACCCAGAAATCAAATTTAGGAGCCCTGACCTACAAACTGCTATGTTAAAGGAAATGTAAATGTTATGTTGCAAAATACACCCTTACTAAGCACTAGCAGATAGCCATGCCTCCAAAATAAGATTTACCACTAGAAATTACAGCATTCAAAGTCTCTAACATTGGCTAAGCATCATGAAAATTGGCCCAGACTAATTCAAGGGGCGAGAATGGTCTTACTCCTGCTGAAAAGAGAAGAAAAGGTTTATAAAATAAAATTGACTGGTGAGAGCAAGTCCTGAACATACTGGTTTCTAAAGGACAATTCTAGGTCTACTTATTGAATCCTAGGTTATACCAGGTAGTAGTATGAATCGGGATTTCTTGGCAGCTTTATAATATGTGTTTTTAATTCAGTCTATATGGGTGGAGATCACAGTAAAAACTTAATTATGAACTTAGGGCAAAACCAATTTTTTTTGTTGTTGAGAGAGAAAGACAGACAGAGAGAGTGAGAGAGAGACAGACAGAGAAAGAGAGACAGAGAGACAGAGATAGAGACAGACAGAGACAGAGAGAGAGACAGACAGACAGAAACAGACAGAGAGAGAGAGAGGCAGAGACACAGAGAGAGAACAAAATCTGCAGATCCCTAGGTTAAGAACTCCTGACTTAGGGTGAACAACAAGGGTGCATAAAAGGGTATATAAAGGCCAAATTATCCCTTTATTTAAAATGGAATCATAAAAATAGAAAGGACAAGAGAAGCCATCTAGTTGGTTTCCTTGCCTTCACATGGACAAATAAAGCATCAATGAATGACTATTTAAGTACCTTCTCTGGGCCAGGCACTCTGCTACAAAAATACTTGGGATATGAAAACTAAAAAAAAACCCATTCCTTGCCCTTAAGGAGCTTATATTACATTGGAGTCAATAATGCATACATATGTAAGTATATATAAAATATATACAAAGTAGGTGCAACGAGGCAACTAGGTAGCTCAGTGGATAGAGCCCTGGGCCTAGAGTCAGGAAGAGCTGAGTTCAAATCCTGCCTCCAACACTGACTAGCTGTGTGACCCTGGGCAAGTAACTTAACTCTGTTCACCTTAATCCTCTGGAGAAAGAAATGGCAAGCCACTCCAGTATCTTTGCCAAGAAAACCCCGTGGATGGAATGGTACCCTGGTCATGAAAAGTCAGACACGATTAAATAACCACAACAGGGACAAGGTAATTTCACAGGGGGAGAAGCAAGGATGGATTTTGGAAAGACATCATGTAGGAGAGGTCATGCTTAAGCTAAACTCTGAAGGAAGCTAAGGCTTCTTAAGAGGCATAGTTGAGAAGAGAGTTCATTCTAGGCACTAGAATCAGACTATTCAGAGGCACAGAAATGGAAAAGAGAATGTGGTTTGTGAAGCAGGCAGCCCTACTTGGCTAGACCATAGCGTTCACGAACGGAGGTAATGTCAAAGTAGGCTGCAGATACATTATAAAGGGGTTTAAAGGTAAAATAAAGGAATTTGTGTTTTATCCTAGAGGCAATAGAAAATATTTTTAAAAGGTGAGTAGCATGGTTTCATAGCATTAGAATGATTAGTTTGCTGCTGTGTAGAAAATGGCATAATTAGTTATGAAATTGGGAAAAAAAATTTTTAAAGATCAAGAACTTAACATTTTTCTTTTCAAACTATCAGACTGTGAATGTTTCCTGCAAGCTTAAAAAAGCCACAAGCAGAACCTAGTAAGTGATTTGCTAGCTCCTTCCAAAGCTAATTTTAAAGTAGAAGTGATATCCACATACTGATTCAGAACACCATGGCAAGAAGACCATGTTCAGTTCCTAACCTTGCAATGTGGGAGATTGCTTTTACAGTAATAGCATTAGGGAGAATGGGTCCAGCTAAACAAGGCCCTCTTTCTTGACCTGTAAAAGCTTATCAGGCCAAGAAAAGCTTTGACTGCATGACCTCTGCTCTCATTGTTCTTCAGTATTGAGACAAAGATACTATGCTGGTGCCCATATGGCCTTCCAGCTATCACAAAATGAGGCATCTCCAAGTTTCCTTAAATTATTCCTGTTTCTAGAATTGAAAAACATTTGTATTCTCTTTCTTGTGCTCCCCAAGTTATGTTCACACAACCTCCAATACACTAATTTATCACAGAGATTAACAATTCCCTTTGCAATTCTCAAATGATGTCCTACCAGGCAATCGTTTCTGGTACAGATCACTCCTAGTACCTGTGTCCAAAGTCCCTCTTTTCCCTCCTCCATAGTCCTAACTGGGGCTCCTTTACTGATTCTGGGCCACTGGGGTCATTTTCTTTTGCCCCAGATTCCCCTTGGTAACAGGGAAAGAGTGGAGGGGCTGCACACTGTTACTGCCAGCAACCCAGCACAGCCACTCCTCTGACACTACACCTCCTCCTCTGCACCCCCCTTGACTGGCACTACATGGTGGCTAATGCCTGAGCTAATTCAATACCCTCATCTCTGTGACAGTTATGACCTATTAACCAGTGAAAGTTACTTATCTTCCAAATGGAAAGCCTCAGGTTTCAGGTACTAAGATTAGAAAAATCTTGCTTCCTGAAAATGATATCGGAGAATTCTGGCCCTTTCTCAGAAATTAAGAAGTTCCATAGACCCTGTTTGTAACATAGGAACATTGACTGAAAATGCAATACACTATTTTCTTCTGTGCAGAATTGTTGTTAGCTAAGTTATAAGTGGACAGGTTAAGGTTGCTTACATATAAAGTTATTGCTTTCTCATTGAAATTAAGGAACCCAAACTCATTAGTACTCTCTTCTTCTAAAAATTACTTTGCATAATTTTGTGTCTACTTATATGTGTGCATATAGTCCTCTCCAGGAGAATAAATGTTCCTTGAGGGCAAATGCTCTTTCTTTTCTTGGTCTTTGTGCCTCCATCACTTAATAGAGGATAAACACTTAATAGAGGCTTCCTGAATTGAATTTGATTACACTGAAGTCATTCATTCATTCATTCAACAGACTTTTAGGGAGTGCCTTCCACGTGTAAAATGCTGTGTTATGTGCTGTTAAGAATACAATAATGGCGAAGACAGGTTTCCTGCCCTCAAGGAGCTTGAAATCTAGTAGATGAGATAAAGACCCATACACAAATAATTATAGTCAAAAGCAGAGAGTGGGTAGCTGGAGAATAGAAAAACAAAGTACTGTGGAATGAGGGAAGATTCCTTCCAGATGGAGAGAGAGATCAGGGAAGGCTTCTTGAGGACAATGGCATTTGATCTGGACCTTAAAAGAGAGACAACATTTCAATAAGCAGCAATAGGGAGAGGGCATCCCAGGCAACAGGGTCTGTGGAACTTTATAATTTTTGAGAAAGGGCCAGAATTCTCTGGTGCCATTACCAGGAAGCAATTTCTTTCCCTAAGATTTTCTAATCTTAGTACCTGAAACCTGAGGCTTTCTAGTTGAAAGATAAGTAACTTTCACTTGTTAGTAGATCATGACCAGTGGCATAGAAGCAGGAATATTCGTTTAGGGAGTGAATTTCCTTAATACTTAGCACAGTGTCTTGCACACAGTAGCCACTTAATAAATTTGTTGAATTGAATGGAATTAAAAAAATTAAGTAAATGGGGAGTAGTTCAATTTGACCTAAACATAGATTATGTAAATGCAATACCTCCTCTGGGGTCACTTCCCTAATTCCCATTAATACTCACAGATTGAGTCCTCAGAGGATTGCTGACCGCTCTTGCTCCTCCTTCTCCTCCTCCTCCTCCCCTTTCTTCTCCTCCTTTTCCTCATTCTTCTCCTCCTAACTCCCTCAGTTGGAAATGTGAAGCCAGCAACCGGAAACTGAGATGTGGCACCCAGGAAAGAGATTAGGGATAGAGATATAAATTGAGAAGCCATTTCTGCACTGCTTTGAATGATTTCAAATTGCTCATTGCTACAAAAGCCTGTGTCTTTAATTTTGATATTATGATGGTATGTGAATACAAGAATAGTGATAATCATTTAAGATCATTTGTACCCCAATAAGGTCCAAAGCCTAATCAACCACAAGAAGCACCCCAACACAATAGACATGCTTTTTTTGTTCTCTGAGTGAACTCAAAATGCCCCTTCCTCTATCAGCAATTACAGGACCAGATGAAGCTGACCAGCATTCTTCTGTTTATGACCACTAAGGCGCCTTGGACCTGGACACTGCCTTGAATAGTGGGATTTTTCTTATCTTGGTATTTTATGGACATATGCTATATTAAACACAGATATCCTGGATCTATAATTTCAATTGACACTTTGACATTCTCCTATCTTACTGTATTTATAACCTATTCAATTAAGAAAATTCTTTTCTCATGCTATGGTTAAACATATATGGAGACCATAAGTCTGAGTAACACAGACATCTTGAGCCAGGGTTTAAATGTCCTCCTAAAATTGCTTGATTCAGTCAGAGTTAAAGCTCTGGCTCCATGTACATGTCACTAACTTAAGGGGAATAAACAATATAATTACATATTACCTAGCTCATTTGCCTTTTTTAACCAAACTTTCAGGTTGACAATAGTGATTCTCTATGGTGAGCAAAAATAAGGAGTGATGATTTAAGGGAGAGGAGATAGCAATGGAATATGTAATGATCTCTGGGAGCCTTGGAGCAGAAAGATAGAAGAAAAGGCATTCAAGTGAAGGGAGGGGAGGGAAAAGCAAAAGAGACAAACACTAAGATACTCTATTATCTTTTCTGTTTCACCATATCCCTCAGACCTCCTAAAATAACTAAGGTCATTTTATCTTCAGGGATAGACTTCAATGTGAAGAGAAGCCATCAAACTTTCCCATACATCCCTTAAAAATAACTCTCCTGTTAGCTAACGTATGAAATTCCAAGAAAGTATTTCATTTCATAATTAGAGATTGTAAGAGCAAAATATTGGGATCTCAGATCTGTAGACAATTTAAATTAAGGAATGTATAAGACTTACTAGATTCCCCCCATGTTTAAAATGCTACTAATCATTAATTAAATGAATATAGCCAAACATGCAAAGGTTAAAATATGCTATGTAAGAAATTATTAACATTGTTATATGACCACACAAAAATCAGCTTGTTGTCTTAAAACTGCTGTTATTTGAATCTTTGTGATTTACAATATCTTTATCTCATCTCAGTACTTGTATAAAAATGTCTGTTAAGAAGTCTATCCTGCCCTACAGGAAAATAGGAAGGGGAAGGGGATAAGACAAGAGGGGAAGAGATAGAAGAGAGGACAGACTAGGGGAAGGGATACTCAGAATGCATGCCATCTTGGGGTGGGGGAGGGGTGAGATGGGGGAAAATTTGGAACTCAATCTTGTGAGAGTAAATACTAAAAACTAAAAATAAATAAATTTATATTAAAAAAAAAGAAAGGTAAGGTTACCTGCCAAGGGTCACACAGAAAGTAAGTAACTGAGTCAGGATTCAAACTTGGGTCTTTTTTCTCTTCCAAGCAAAAAATGCACAAGTCCTTTCACAGATCTTCCAATGACAGGGAGTCCAGGTCCTTTTCCGTCTTAGCTGGCTGTCTGAACACTGCCCAGCTTATCAATAATACCCACAACTAAATAAGACATTCCAAGTGAGGTCTGAAAAAAGCAATGTACAGTGGGGATGATCACCACACCACTCTGCCCAGGACTGCCTAAGCTTTTTTGGCTGCCACATCATAGAACTAACTCATAGTAAGCTTGCAATACACTAAAACTCTCAGATTCTCTCTCTCTCTCTCTCTCTCTCTCTCTCTCTCTCTCTCTCTCTCTCTCTCTCTCTCTCTCTCTCTCTCAACTGCTAACAATGACTACCCAATCACACACTTGTGAAATTTATTTTTTTTGTTCCTCAGTATAAGACTTATCTCTACTGAATGTCATCTTATTATATTTACCTCAATGTTCCAACCCATCAAGATTTTTTAAAATAGTAGTTCTGTCATCCAACTATCTATCCCTTCTCAACTTTGTGTCTTATGCAAATCTGATGAACATGCTATGTCATTATCAGTGATTTTGAACAGAAAAATGTTAAATAGCACAGGCCTAAGCACAGATCCCCAGGATAATCTAGTGAACAACCTTTCTCACGCTGTCACTGAAACATTAACAACTACACTTTGAAATAGACAATCCAACCAATTTTGAATCCATTTAGTTTGTATTATTGTCTAATAAATAATGAAATAGTATGAAACATTTTATTATACTATAAGGAGTGTATCTACCTACTCAGGTAGATCATCTACTATCTAGGTACCTTACAATTACAACTGTTCTTTAAGACCTAATACTTTGTACAAGACATTAACTGAAATCAAAACAATAATAAAATTTACAGGTGGTAATGCCACTGATTCCTTTTTTCACTCCTTCTAATGAATTATTTCTTGGGATTTTCTAATTAAAATATCGTGTTGTCAGCGAACAAAAAGTTTGTTTCTTTTTTGCCAAAAAAATAAAAATAAAAATAAAATTAAAATGTCTGTTAAGATCCAGCATCGAAAATTGTCTTGTTTTGTCTTTCCATTTGGCAAACACTTTATTCTTAATTTGTAACTTTAATGAAAATCCTGCAGTATGAGTTGATTTCTAATTTCTTGAAACAGTTCCAAAAACACATATAAGGCCTAGACTTTTTGAGTCAAATTAGGACACTTGGTTGAGAAAGGGAGATCTTTTAATCAGATAACCATCTTCCAAAGAGCTTTTTTATACAACTAATAAAAATATTGTTTCTAGTAAATCTGATCACTAAACATAACACTGAGTGACACAGTTTTATTTGCTTCAAGAAGATACGATGCAACTTCCATGGAAGAATTAATAATACATTGGTCTGACTGTGTAGCAATATTTTCAAAACCTTTTCTGGTTGATAATAGCAAAAGATTAGAAAACAGAATAGGAGCCCTCAAATGAAGGCAGCTAAGTGGTGCAGTAGATAGAGTGGAGGACCTGAGTTCAAATCTGGCCTCAGACACTTACTAGCTGTGTCACCTTTGGCAAGTCATTTAACCCAGTTTGCTTCAGTTTCTCATCTGTAAAATGAGCTGGAGAAGGAAAAGGCAAACCACTCTGGTATCTTTGCTAAGAATAGGGTCAAGGAGAGTCAGACATGACTGACTCAACAACAACAAAAGTCCTGAAAGCAGACAAGTTGAAAAGAGAGGGGGTACAAGAGAAGAGAGAAATCAAGCAGCAAAAGATATACTAGACAGCCTTCTACTTCACCATTTTGTCTGTGTTGGCCACATTTACATCATCTGCTAAAGGTTAAAGTCAAAGCTGAATGTAAAGTATCTTACATGGCCATACCCAAGGAGAACACTTTAGCTATGACTCCTTATTATAAAGGCTCAACACAGCGGGGATACCGAGCCAGAAAGAGCCAAGGCAAACCCTACCCATGGCCATATATTAGCATCAATAGGCACAGGGTACACAAGCTGCTGCACAAAAGGGCCTCAGATTTTAGAGGATCAGGTTGAACAAAGTGTGAACTCCTGACACTTACTAATCAACTTGAGATTCACACAGGCTGAAAGAGTGTGATGATGATTTTAACCACTTGTTTCAGCCGTTTGGATCTCAGTGCTAAGCAAATAAACAAGAAATCAACTTGTCCTGGCTTTCAGGATTGTATCTTCTGTCCTTCCCACTCAATTCCCACCTCTTCTGCCTTCTCCCAGTCTTAGCCCTTCATCACTCAAGGTTTTCCTGATCACTGAATATTGCTGGCCTCCTTGGGCTAAGGTGTTGTGTCCGAGAGTACCAGGGCAGCCCACTAGTGCAATGACATTTTCTTAGGAACATAATCCAAGGGGTAACCAAGGCATCCAGGGACAATCAGAGTGCCCAGATATGGAGATTCCTAGTGTAAACATTATTGCCTCAGGTACTGTCTACTGGCATCATCTTCCACAGACCAATTAGGAACATAAATTCCTTGGAGGAACATGTAGAACATGTAGCAAGGCATTTGATCAAGACATGAGATGTTCCAGGCAGATTATATTTCTTGGATGACAATCATGCTGTTTTATGTGCATAATTTTTCAAAGAAAAGCAAAAGGATAAGCCCAAAGAAAAGAACAGCCTGATCTCCCATGAAATCCCTACAAGTCAGTGGTGGAGGACAAATTCCACAGTTCCTTATCCATATGTCCTTCTAAAAAGATACCAAACTTGAGATTATGAGATCCTGTGGGATTCCACCTGACAAGCCCTACTTTACTCAGAACTAGCAACAAATTTTAATACACAGCATAGGAAATTCAGCCAGCCAAATTTTATTTCTAATAGGCCTTCCCAGGGATTTTCTACAAAATTCACTTTTAAAAAAATTTAAAGCCATCTATATTCCATAGAGACACTACTGATCAGATCACATGCATTCCAAAAAAAAAAAAAAGCAATGTTTTGATCCAAAGACCTTAGTCATTTACATTGTTTTGTGGATAAAATGTTTGTGTTACATCAGTACCCTAGACAATCCATTTCTATGGTAGATATGGTCTATAGATAGATCAGGAAATAAATATACTTTTAAGTTTTATTGACTTTTGATTTTTGTACCATCATGATGTGCCTCAATACTGTGTGCTTCCTTTATTACAAAGAAAGAGAGTCAAGCAAAACTAATGTAGAAATGACGTCTGACACCATATGCAGAATTCCCCTCTTGTAGTTCCCTGACAGTCTACAGAAAGGAAGAAAATAGATTTCCTAATCTTTCCTCTAGGACCAAGATTGATCATTGCAATTAAATTGATTTTAGCTGCCTTTTTGTGGCATTTTAATTAACAGTATTGAAGTCATTGTACAAACTCTTGTCCTGGTTCCTTTTTCTTTGCTCTGCATGAGTTTATACAATTCTTAGTTTTATCTGAATTCCTTACAGTCATTATTTCTTATAGCACAATATGATTCCATTAAAAATTTACATACCATTATTTGTTCAGCCTTTCTCCAATTGTTGGGCACCAATTTTGTTTCCAGTTTATATTAACACATACACACACACACACACACACACACACACACACACACAGAGTGCTACAATGACTAGTTTAGCATATATGGGAACTTTTTCCTCTCTGAACAACTTAGGATAGATACCCAGTAGTCAAAGGGTCAAACGGTATGACTTTTCTAACATAATTTCAAACCATTTTAAGAATTGTTGGATCAATTTACAATTCTGTTAACAGTGCAATAGCATAACCATTTCCTATAGTCCCTCCAATATTGATTATTTCCACCATCTCTCTGTCAATTTAATACCACTCTCTTATTTAAAAAACTTAATAAGTAAAAGGCTTAATATGACAGAATATTTTAAACCATATTTTATATTTTTACTAAAAAGGAAATTTACTATTTCCCATGAGATCTCGACTTAGTAGAAGTAGTTTTTCACAATGAATAGCCTGCATTTGGTGAGAAGTCTGATGAAGACATTCACATTTCATTTCTTAAAATGTCATTTGTCCCTATGATCATTTAGGATTTATTTTTTAAATAAATATGAATAAGCATCTACCATATATATCCTAGCCACTATCTTAGCCACCAGAGGGGATCCAAAGATGAATAAGATACAGTTTCTTCCCTCAAGGAGCTAGCTGTAAAAGCTATACCACAAATAAGAAAGAGCACTGGGGTTTACCATCTTCTCTGTCACTGACTCTTAGGGTCTTCCACACCCTATCAGCTTCCCTACTCTTTTACTCTCCATAGCCCTAGATAATTGTCATATGATTTACCAATATACCCTAAGGATGACTGGACCTTGCCATCCACCTTGCTACTGAAGCCAAAGAGCCCCAAGCTCTTTCCATATGCCCTGTATCTGAATCATCCTTTACATGTGGTCTTCATCAATTAAAATATGGGGTCCTTGAACATAGGGTCTCACTTTTCTACTTTTGTCTCCAATGTATAGCATAATTCTAGGCATATAGTAAGTGTATAACAAATAATTTTTCATTCATTTATTCAATAAGCTTTTATTAAATACCTACTATATGTCAATTGCTGTGTTAGATACTGGGATAAAAAAAATAAAACACTTTCTGCCCTCAAATCACTGCCTGCTATTAAAAGGAAAGAAAATGATCATTATTCATGGAGTCAGAAATTCTTACTTCAAGTCTTTGTTCCATGACTTACTTACCAGGTGAGCCAGACCATTTCTGAATCACAAGTTCTTCACTGGTGACAGGAGGATAATAATTCTTGCGCTACTTTCCTCACAAACTGAGGAAGTGAGCAAAATGTTCTGTAAACTACAAAGTGTAATATAAATGTGAGGTGCTTGTAAAGATAAAATACAGTTTTCTTAATTAGCTAATTTATTTCTTCATTAGCTAACTTTTCCAGTCAACTTTGCTCATTTTGAGACATTTACATTTTCTAGGGAAAAAATAAAAAGTACCCTCAAGGTAAAAATGACTTCCGCTTACTAGATTTATTAAAGGTTGACAGAAGCCTGTTGTTTTTTTCTTCTTGAGTTTCTTTACCATACAAAAAAGAGATATTTTGACCAAATAATGTCATTTTTTCACTTCCAGAAAATAATGTGATCTCTTGCTTTTAAAAATCTCATGAGGAAATTTAAGAATTTGGGGCCTCACTGACTGACATTTGGGAAAAAGGAAATAAAATGAAAAACCACTTC